CTTCGGCGCCAGCTTACAATGGAGAGGAAGGGGGGATTCTATCTAGGTGTGGGGGCTGGGGAGGAAGGCTTTACCAGGTTTGGGGTCAACCTTCAACCCTGTGCTGCGACCCTAGAACTGCCCTTTTGCAGGCCTGCCTTAACTTTCCGAGGCGACACCCACCTAGCAAAGTTTTAAAGCGAATGTGCGCGGCGCTAAGGCGAGAGCCACATGTTGAACAGGGGCCACCCTCAATCCGTGAGGCTCTTGCAAAGTTCGAAAACGAATGTGCGCGGTGCTCAGGCGAGAGCCACTTCTTGAAAACGCCCCGGCCTCAATCCGTGAAGCTCTGGCAATTGTAAAGGCGAATGCGCGCGGCGCTAAGGCGAGAGCTACATTTTGAAAGCGACCCGCCCTCAATCCGGGAAGCTCTTGCAAAGTTTTCGAACGAGTGTGCGCGGCGCTGGGACAACAGCCTCATTTTGAAAAACGGCCCGCCCGCCACCTGTAAAACTCCGCCAATGTTTGAGCTTCAGTGTCATTAATGGTGAGGACGTCTCAGGCGAAACGCCTGGCCCGCCCTAAAAACCGGCGTCGGGGTTCGACAGGGAGGAGTTATCTATGCTGCAGAAGGATGGAGGAGGGGGGGGAGGAGGGGGAGGAGGAGGAGGAGGAGGAGGAGGAGGAGGAGGAGGAGGAGGAGGAGGAGGAGCAGGAGGAGGCGGGGACGGAGGATGAGGAGGAGGAGGAGGAGGAGGCTGAGGAGGAGGAGGAGGAGGAGGAATAGTAATCATATTAGGAAACATAAAAGAATAACCAGCATACGAAAAATACATATAGTAGTAGCCAGCACGAACATATTGCTAATAACATGGATGATAATAAGAATATGCTGTGAATCATGAAAGTAATACCAAGAATAGTAGCAATAAGTTTGATAAGACAAATAACAGTAGTAATCATAATGCGAAGAATATGGCGAAACATCAACATCTCAATATACATGCGAATTATCAAACATACGACGAAGAGGGCTAATCAGGCGAATACGAAGACTAAGATTAAGGAACAGACGAATGATACGATTACGAAGCATACTACTCATAATAAGAAGAACAAGCGACTACGATTAATAGTATTATGAATCAGCATAAGGAGGATTCTAATACAAATAAGATACATATTACTAAGACGAATCGTAAGCATGATACTAATGCAGCATACTAGTAATACGAATACTGATAATGATATCACTAAGACAACGAAGCATACGAATCATAATAATTAGTATACTGATGCCACTGATGATGACGATGACGTTGATGATGATAATGACGATGATGATGATACTGATGATGATGATGGGTAATCATACTGATAGTCGTAATCATACTAATAATGGTAGTAAGGACACTCAGAATAACACCACTATCACTCATACCAATAATATGATCAATAATCATTTTAGTAGTACTAGTAATACTAGTAGTGATACTGTCAATAAATATAGTAATAGTAGTACAACAAATAACACCAGCAACGACACCAACCATAATACACATGCTAGCTAGCAGTACTATTATTACTACTACTACTACTACGATTACTACTACTACTACTATTACTACTACTACTACTACTTCTACGGCTACTACGGCTACTACTACTACTACTACTACTACTACTACTACTACTACTACTACTACTACTACTACTACTACTAATACTACTACTACTACTACTAGCTACTACTACTACTACTACTACTACTACTACTACTACTACTACTACTACTACTATTACTACTACTACTACTACTACTACTACTACGACTACTACTACTACTACTACTACTACTACTACTACTACTACTACTACTACTACTACTACTACTACTACTACTACTACTACTACGACTACTACGACTACTACGGCGACGACGACGACGACGACGACTACTACTACTACTACGAAGACTACTTTCTAATCGTAATACTACTAATACTACACAGTATAGTAGTCACACTAGCAATCAAACTCACAATACTCATAATTTTATTAACAATATTAGTATAAACCATACTGATACTAACTGGGGAAACAGTAATAACAGTAGTAGTAATAATCACAGCGATAAGAGGAGGGAGGAGGCGGCAGCGGCGGCGGAGGCGGAGGCGGAGGCGGAGGCGGAGGCAAATGCGGAGGGGGAGGGGGAGGGGGAGGGGAAAAGGGAGGGGGAAAGGGAGGAGGGGGAGGAGGGGGAGGAGGGGGAGGAAGTGGAGGAGGGGGAGGAGGGGGAGGAGGGGGTGAATGAGGTGAACGAGTGGATGCGGGTGCTCCGCTGCGCCCCACGTGCGGCCCGCGCTCCGCGCGGGGAAGAGGATCCGAACGGCCCCCAGGGGCCAGGCCAGCCCGGGAGACAGGGCCGCCACGGCCCGACTCCTGGGCCCATCCAGGCCCTGGGGAGGGGGCCCCCAGCTTTCCAAGCCGAGTCCGACCGTGGCGACGCTAAGCCGGCCGGCGAAAACAGCCTACGGCACCGCGCACCGGCCATCAGAGGGTGCACCCACCTGCAGGCATCAAACGATTGAGGGACTGCGGGGCCCCTCACGCCGAGGAGCGAAAATGCGGCAATCTGCAGCCCCCATGGGCTCTGTACTGCAAGCCGGTCCCTGAAGAAGAGGATCTTGCCGTAGGTGTAGGCGCCGGGCTACATGCACTCTTTGAGGACGCGCGCAGCGTCTCGGGCGTTGAACTGCGCGGCCCCGTCGAAGATGCCCATGATACCCCGGATGGCAGCCAGCGCCTCCTCACGGTGACTGTGCGCCCCCTCGAGGCCGAGCTCCCCCATGAGCCCAATCGCGCGCCTCCTCAGCCTCGCGCTCGTCCGAGCCGCGCTGCACTCTGCCCGCGGAGCTCCCCGCGGGCGCCGGGCCCGGCTCCTCGTCGACGTCGGTCTCCACGCAGGGTTCCTCGGCCTGCAGAGCGTCGCCGCAGCCCGCCTCAGCGCCCCTCTCCACCCGGGGCGTGTCGACCGCGGGCGAGTGCTGGCCCGCGTGTTCGGACCACCAGGGCCCAGCACCAACCCCCTCCAGCGCCTCCGCGCACTCGGCTGCTTCGGAGGCGTCCTCGCTGCCGACGCTCGGCGCGACTTCCACGGCGGAGGTCTCCCGTGGCTCATCTGCTCTGTGTCGCCCCGGTGCTCGTGCATCTTCGGCTGGTGGCCCCGCCATCCCTGCTCCGCCGAGCGCTTCGCCAGCTTCTCCGCCCACTTCTCGAGCTTCGTGGCCTATGGGCCGGCGTCACACGCTTTCCCCTGGGGTCGCGTCTTGCCGTCCGCCTTGGCTTGCGGCGCCATGGCCGCCGTGGACACCTTCACCAGGAGCGGAGGAG